CATCTCCAGGGCTTCAGACTGGTTCTTTTATGGTGCTCTCAGGTTTCCTTCTCCCTCAATATGACACACAAAGGAGAGCAGCTCTGCCCTGAGCTGAATGGTCTGGGCACTGAAAAAGTGATGACTCAATAGGCTTCCTGGTACCCAGGGGAGGAGACCCACCATGCTCAGACCTGAGGAATTAGTTGTCCCTGAAAATTATTTGGATTGGGCTGTGTTGACCAGTTCACTACCTGGAACTCCCTCATAGACTACAACCGCATGCCATGACAAACTGAATTTGGGGTTCACAAAGTGATTATTCCTGGGAAGTTGGAGAGAAACACAGTTTGGAGTCATGGAAAGTCTAAGCCCATATTATTATTTTTTTCTGCTGCCTTCTCCTTATCCAAGTCTATACCAGGCTCTAGTATCATACAGGGCACTCTAAGAGCAGAGTCTGATTTCTAAGAGCCAAAGAAGCCAAAGTATGTATGTAAGACAGTACTGTTAAAGTAATCAGAGTTGTTCATGCTAAGCCTCACATTAGCAAAGCTAAATTTACCTAAATTTCTATGCTTAGTTCTCCCGGAAAAGGAAGGCCTATGTCAACCAATCACTGCTTTCCTGCTCAGCACAAGTTACCTGACCTAGTTCAAAGACTCCCTCTGCTCCATATAATGAAAAGTAACCTTGTTTTAACCAATCATCAAACACCCAGTATAAATTCATTTGCCCTGCTCATTTTGGTCTATAAAAACCTCTCACCTTGTACAGCTCATCAGAGCTTCTTTCTGTCTGCCAGACTGCATGCTACCTGATTCATGAATTGCTGAAAAAAGTCTACTGGACCAGTAGACTGTCTGTGGAAAATTTTTTGACAGTTTATATAGACTAGAGTTAGATCCTCCCATGGTGAAAATCAGATGACTGACATTTGGGCTGTAAGCTCGATGACAAAACTTGGGCCTGCAGACTTATCACCTACTGCCAGCCATGGGGATACGGGTGTTGGATGTTAATGTGCAGAGGAAGGCACACTGAGGTCTGAAAATGGCTGCCTTCACTGAACACGACTAACTTCTGGCCCCCGTACCATTCTTTGATTCTGCTCCAAATCTATTCTTTTGACCAGTGATGAGATCAGGATCTTGGTGATAACTCAGGTTGGCATGTACTTCTAGGAGGTGAGACATGAAAAATATCTGCCTAAGTCCTTGGTTAACTCATGGTTCTTCAGTTCTATCTAGCTTTTCTCTAAGGCTAGAGACAGAATCTGACCTGGGTAAGTATGTGCAGTAAGAATGAGAAAACAGGACAGGAGTCCAAGGGACTGCTTCTAAAGTAATTGCATTAGAAACCCTCAATACCATTGCTCTGGGCAGCATTGACAGGGAGCAGACACATGCACTTCAGCAATGCTACACTAGCTGATGCTGTTTCCTCCACAGAAAGTCACATGTCTTGGTCCTCACCAAAGTCTGCTCTTCTCACTGTTTTCCCTACTATTCATCCTTGTGGTCAGAATGTGGCTATGTATATTGAATGCGTGTGAGGGTTTGATTAACCTGACAGCTATGTGATTTAGATATCCTTTTTAGGAACTAACATCAAGGCACTATATAAGTTTGATACTTGTGTGTATATATTTTCCTGAGTGAAGTTAGTTACTGATTTTTTGTGGGGGGAAATATGTTTTTGGAATAGCAGGTCTGAAGCCACAGTGAAGATACTGGTCATAGCCGCAATTGGGCCTCTTAGAGTAACATTCTGGTTTCATTTCCCCAAATGCATATAATTTGGTGTTCTATTATTACTTTTTAATTAATTGGCAAAGATGCACATTTCAGATCAACTTTGCATTGCCTGGGGGAGAATAAAATGGAAGCTTCCAATCCTCTGTGAGTTGGAATTTCACTAAACACAGCATGCATTCAGCAAATGGACAGAGAAGGAAAGAGGAAGAAGCAAGAGAGAAGAAAGAGAGTCAGAGAGAGAGTGTGGGAGGGAAGTTATTTCCTGAGCACAGAGTCATTCCAAAGATATCATGAGCAGCAAATTAAACAATCCTTCAGCAGGAATTTTGACAAGAAAATTTCATTAGGGATTTAAATCTCCATGGAAGCTCAAGTTGCTGCATTAAGATATGAAAACTCTGCAAATATTGTTCCTTAGAATAATGTTTGCTGCAGGTCATTGAGTTTTAGTCAATGAAATTTAGAATGATAAATGTCATATTGAAAATCACTGGAGGAAGGGGGGTTGAGGGAAGAAAGGAAAAAGCCCTGCAATTGGGAGCTCAGGGCCTGGAGTGATTTGAATTGGAAGGTAGCCTTCAGTATTACCTAGCTGTGTGACCTTGAGCAAGTTTATTTAACATTGGTGAGGCCTAATTTCGTCATTTATAAAATATGAGCAATTGCCGGTAACTCTCTGCTAGCCTATGATCATGAGGGCTTTAATGAGGTAATCCAGGTAAAGCCTTACAGCAAATTGCCTGGCACTTGTAAATTTTAAACATATTAGTGTGATTATAACATAGGATGTGGCCTAATATTTATCTGTCACTGACTTTTTGTCAGTCTTTGTTATACCAACCTACCAGTATGTTATTGCCATCCATGAGATGAAAATCCTGATGCTTGGGCCATCTAAATCTGCTGAGGTCATGGAGTATCTCCACCAGAATCATGTTTTTCTCCTTCACTAGCCTGTGGAGGCCTTTGAGATTAAATCCTGTTTGCGTACCTTTGTAATAAAAGAATCTAACTGATTAGACGGACATTGGTGGGTGCTTAGACAATATTTGTGAAATGAATTAGTGATTACATATCTAAATGGATGCATGCATTTGATTCATATACTCATGTGACATTTTTCAGAAAACAAACAAAAAAATTCCCTATACTTCCATAACCCAAATTCTGAAAGTACCCTTTAAGAATTTTAGTGTGTTTTTTCCCATAATTGTACCAAAGGATGTTTCTGTTATAATTTTATATGAAAATAATTTTCTATCTTGTTTTTCACTTAATAAATATTTCATACAGCTTTTATTTTCATAACAACTAAATAAAACATAATATATATCCCATATAATGTTTCACTTAAATATAGTCTTGCTGGTTTTAGAGTGTGTTCATTTTTCACTATTATGAATATTGTTGTAGTAAACATTTTTATGTACATAAGGCATAGATTTTCAGGATTAGTGACTAATCATGGGATCATTTTTCTTTGAGGAGCACACAGTCTTCATGGTGGGCCTCATCTTCAACCACTATAGTGGTGCACTATCATATGCAATTGGATGACAAGGGTTTGATCACTGTTTAAAAAAGACTATTTTATCCATTTTGTACCACATGCAAGCCCTGCCCCAGGACACTGTACTTGATATTCACAGATATATATGAAAAGAAAAAGGTAAGAAGGGAACAAAGAAGGAAAGCAATGAGGAAGAAAAAGAGGAAAGAGGTGAAAGAGGAAGGGAAAGAAGAGAGGAAGAAAGGGAAGAAGGAGGCATGGAGAGAAGAAGGATAGTGGGAAGAAAATAATGAAGAGAAGGAAGTAAAGAAAAAATAGAAGGAAAGATAAGGGAAGAGAAAGAAAAAAGGAAAGAAAGAAAAATGAGGAAGGAAACTGGTTAAATCAGACAGAATAAAAAATAGAGAACAAGAGAAAGAAAGAAATCAGCAAACCAATTCTTCTATGTAAACTTTGTCTCCAAATATATGTCTCCAGTCGCAGCCATACTTTCCAGACATCTGCTTAGCATATGGCCAAATCACAATACTACACATTCTAGTAACTGCCCCCAATCTGGGTAGTTTCTAGAGACCAGGGCCTTGCATTTCACAAAACAGAGAGAATTCATGGCTAGCTTGGTTGTTAGCTTTTAGACAACCTTCACTTTTCTCAAGAATTGCTAACTGCAAAGGAAAGAGTAGTTAGTTAACACTGTATGACTTGCCTTGCCAAGGTTAAGGAAAATATTTTACCTTTTAAAAAAATTACATTTTTCTGATGAAATAAAGATAGAAATTGAGAGGAAGAATGAAAATATGCTTTTTTAAAAAGATGTTGAAAGATCTCTAGACATATTCATTGTGCTGCAGCATGAACACTCACAGCGGGGGCAACTTCTGTCTGTTGTCAATGCACTATATTTTTCTCATATTTATGTTGCGCATATTTGGTGTTCAGAAAACCATAATGTTGCCTTTACGATTTGGAAGTGCCTGTCATCTTCACAGAGTTAAATTGCTGATTCAATAAAAGTTCTCTTTCCTTAGTAGTGACTCAATTACAGCAGTCATGGAAGGAGCAGATTATTCACAGGTAAAGTAAACATTTCACATTTGACCAGAATTGGGCATGTTGGTATAGAGCGTTACTTTTAATCCATATAGGAAAAAAAGACACTAATGACTAACAATATTTCTTAGTGGGAAATTGTCTTCATTCATGAATGGAAAATAAAAGTCATTACTAGAGTAATTACTGATATGCAAATGATGGTGCTAAAAACGGATCTCTCACAATTTGTTTGAAAACTTGTTATATAATTTTATATGTATATTTTCATATTTCAGTAAGGTAAAAGGTGAATAGATTTAATGTTATCACACATTACCAACTAGAGGTTGGTACTTTAATTTCAGTAGTTTTTAGAAATTCATCTAGATAAATAATAATTCCTTTTGTTTTTCAATACCCTTGATTTCCTAATGGGGTGGTAGTGGGGGGTTCTGAAAGCTAAGGGAGCAGGATTTGATGACATTCCCAGCACAGATTAGTTGGCAATGGAGTTGAATCTGAATACCAGGCCCTATGCAGAAGACCTGGCCATAGACCTAGTCCTGAGCAAGCTTTGAAAATTAATATCTGTCACCTGCTTCCACACTTGGGAGCTTTCAGAGATGAGTGAATGCAAGGCAGTCTTCAGCTGAGTTAACAACTGTCACATGGAGCAAGGGCTGCCGATATACTGTGTTAGAGAAGAAAAATGCTTGACCTACTTGGATCTGATAAGATGGAATCAGTTTTTGGCAGAAATTGATCACAACGGACTCCCTGGTAGCCTTCTTTGCACCTGAAAAAAGGGGATAAATAACAAACATACACATGTGGTTATGAAAGTTTCAAGATTATAACAAGCAAAATAGCCCCTAATTACATAAAGCAAATAAATGTGAGAATGTAGCACATTCATGCTTTTGTATAATTTGATTCAGTCTGTTTGAAACAACAGGCAAATTTTAGACTCTATTTCTGTGCAAAAAAAAAAAAACAGCACGGCTTTGCTTTTATAATTTTATATACAATACTTAATGAGAAAATTAAATAGCTTTTTAAGATGCCCCTCATAGCAATTTCAATAATGGTTACCCTCATATTATAATTCTGGGTGCAGGTATACTTTTCTTTATGCAACATGCTCTAAAATGCTACAGGTGCCCTTTCAGAAACATCATATTGCAGGTGTCACTTTTCTAATAAAAAACATTTTCTTATGTAATGATAGATTTTGGCTACTGTTTATTTCTTTGTGTTTTATTAGTTTGTTTCTTTGCTCATTTTTATTTTTTTACTTTTTTATTGACTTAACTATTTTTCAAGTCCCTGTTAACTCATTGGCCAGAAACAACATTTATTTCAAATCTGTCAAGATTTCTATGTGCAAGGCTCACATTGTTCTGTCCTCATTTTCTCTTTTATATTCAGCAATCATGTGCAAAGTGCATGCTTCCTGCCAGGCATTGTACATGGCAACTTCCCCGAGGCAGGCAGGCACAATTAGGAGGTGAAGGAATTTGCCTGGAAGCACCTGCAATGAGGCATGTCATCTAGCCCTGACAGTTCTCTGTGAGTCCTCACACCACTTACGCAGGCAGAGCTGCTCAGCTGCCTGGGACAGCATTTCCTCACCAGCCAGCAGTTCAGTTCAGCAGTTCCAGGAACAAATGCAGCCAAGTGGTCCCAACCCCCTGCTTTGAAACAGCCTCTGTAAGGGAGATGTGGCATTCAGTGGTGGGCCTTGAAGCTTAACCTGTCATGCTTGAGTTAAGCTGGAAAACATCCATTGTTTTGTGGAATGAATCTTTACTACTTACAGAGAAGGAAATTATGCTGCTAGCATAAAAACCAGATTTAGAAAAACAATGGTCTGGTTGTTAGAAATCTAAGACATTGACAAAAGAATTTAAAGAGACCATTGTGTGAGAGATGGGGGCTGTGGATTCTTTCTCTAGAATAAGTTTTGTTTTCTGAGTGTAATAAACTATTAGATAAAGTGTATTGCAACTGGAGGAGTAACACTGAAAGGCACCAAGGTAATTTTTCTACCTTTCACTGTGAGTCATTCGGAATTCAGGTAATCAGCAGGTTCTACTTAGCACTTTGTTAGCCTGGAACTCTGAAGCATATATGGCAATTTTCCTTGTAGACTGAGGACAAAGACTTCTGATATGTGGACACTCCAGGTCCCCAACAGGCTATGGAAAAATTTGTTTAAGTAGTTACATATTTTTATTGCCTCTTTAAAAATTCATTTATTGCACTTGAAATAAAGGAGGTATATCATCACTGGGTTTATGTTGGTAAAAAGTCAGAAAATACTTAGGACTAGAGCACATTTCTGATTATAAAAATCCTGTTCTCTGGAAGCTAGCCTATTCTGTCAGTTTGTCTTTATTCATAATTACTGAACCATAGTGTTTTAATTTTCATTTTCTTATGAGTTATGTGCTGGGTGTGTGCTGTAGTGTGCATCCACATTTGAAGGTTTTTATTTTTGACATATGTGAAAAAATTTTAGCACACTTTAGTGTTTACAATTTCATTTAATATGACCTGTTAGCCTAGGGACATACTTGCTTTTAGGGAGAAGTGTTTCTTCTGTGTGTGTTTTGTTCTCATTTTTAAGGTTTTTTCATAACTTAAAATTCATTATTCCATTTTTGTGAAAGAGAAAATAAGGAAAGATATTTTAAAGTGTTCAATCATTAAACAATTTTCCGAGTTTGAACCCAGTTTGCAGTGTTCAGACCTCATGGGGTGTCAGGAAAAATTGCACAGTGAGGGCCCTCATCCTGTCTTCATACCCATGTGCTGTAGATAACAAGGTGTGATGATGGTGGAGCAGCCCACCCCCAGACAGGAGACCCATCAGAGGCTGTGTGACCAGATGTGCAAACCCCAATCCTTGGTTACAAAAACAGTGTTCCTGCTAATTGGTGCTGGGTTTTAAAATTGATGAATTAAAGTTTCCATTTCAAAATCACACACATGTAACCTTGATAAGTTCAGACCCACCCAAATGTACAGACAGAATGTAGCAAGCAGATAACACTAATGAAGTGGGCTAAATTTATGATAACATTCAAGACATAAAGCAAAGGAAAAAAGTCATAAGATACACTTGTATTTCGAAGATTGAGTTTGGCAGAACTTCTGACAGTGTGATAGAGAGCATGTCTATTGAGAACTATCATTGCATATTTGTTTTGTTTTGGGTAGGTGTTTTGGAAATTTTGAGAGTTGCTTTTTTCTTATTTAAGATTTATCCTTTCTGAAAGATACAGGTAAAAGAACAAGAGAAATCCATGTAATTAAAATTTTTTGTCCATTTTAATAAGGCATGCCTTAATAATATTTTAAAAGTGTATGTGTAATCTTTAATGGTATATATATATATATATATATATATATTTAAAAAGCACAAATTTTACCTTCACTGGGTTAATAGTCTATTATTTTTTACTATGTATGGCTTTCAAAACTCCACTCAGTTTGACCCCTCCATTTTCTGAATTTCTTTGTGACTGAAAACCCTTGCATCACGAAGATTTTATTAAAAATTGCAATATTCCCTGGTAGTGTTTTATAGGTAAGTTATGATTCTATAACTGGATGGTTAGCGAGTAGTTTTACAGCCTTTGGATAGGAAATATCAGCTATGAAACAACTACAGAGCAAATACAGTCTCCAAAAGCTAAGAAAATTTTTCCTTACAAAAAATATTAGTCTTAAATTTTGTGTGTTTATCAATTCTGAGGTGAAGGAGTTGTCACTTTGGAAATCAGTTGTCTTGATAAATGTTGCTTGTTTAGTCTATTTCCAAATTGAAAAGGCAGAGAGGAAGAGCATAGTTGAGGAGACAATGTCCAAAGCTAGGTAGGGCAGGTGAGAGGTTGAAAAGAAAACTCTAGTGGGTAACCCCAAATAAGGGAGATTGGCCCCAGGCAATGAAGTGGTGGAGAAGTGCTTGGAGACTCTGACCCGGGCTTAAGTATCAGCAAAGCATCTTCTATGCTGGTAAGCCACAGGGTCAAATCACAAACCAGTGTTCCCCTTTCTACAGAGAGAAGTTCAGCTGTTCAGTTTCAAATGCAGACATCAGTTTTTTTACTCCTTACATCCTCCAACTTTGCCCTCACTTTCCTCCCACTTGTTCACTTGTACCTAAAATAGCAAATCACTCCTTTAATTCATTTCCCTCTTCTACACTGTCCCTAAGGAAAATCCCAACTTTAGTGAAACATTTTAAAAGAACCACTGGGAAAAAGAGAAGAGAATAATACTGACAGAGATGAAAATATATCAAATGCATAATTGTTAGCTATATTTCAATATTTGTTTTGTCAGTGTGATAAAGCAGAAGTGATCAACAGATCACCCAGCCTAGATGTGGAGAATGCCAAGGAGAAGACTTCAAAAACTTCAGAAGATCATTTGCTGATATTTCCATAGAAATTGACATCCTTTGGCCAGCAGGATATGGTGACTCTGGCCCTGGGCCCACAATGCTAACTAACTTCACGTCGGTCTCATCTCTTCTCTTATAATCATCTGTCCGCTTATTTTTTAGAACCCATTTTCTGAATAACAACTAAAGTAGAGCTAATAATATTAGTAACTTTGATTGAAAATTGAATAACTCTCATTTGTGACCAGCAGTGTCCCTACATGTCCAGATTACTGCTAATTTATCCCAGTTTTTTTTTCTATTAGGAAAATAAAACCAAACCAAATTAAAACAACACAAAAACTTTTCCACTGAGGAAACTACTTCTTCTCAGTCCTCATCTATTGCTTTCCTCATCATTTACTCACTAATGGAAGGCATTATCATTGTTTCATTTTTTTCTTCTCCATTCCTACTCTGTCTTTATTGGCAAGGTCAGGATTATCCACACGGATGACCTAGTCAACACATGGTCTCTTAGCACATGTCTTCCTCATCTATATGATGATTAACAATGCTGAGTGTATAGTCTTGCTTCTTTGCTTAGTATTTGTATGGATGTGCTTTAGGCAAATCACTTCATATTCCTGTTCCTCTGTTTCAACCAGATAAAATGGGAATGATACCAGAAAGGAGAAAAATGAACAATCACACCTGGTTGATATTACACACATGCATTTTGGCTGTCTTTATACCTAGAGGCCTTCTACGTATCACATCTGCAGAGATGTGTTTTATATAATTTATGGGGATAAATGTATGAAGGATGGAAAGTTTTTCAAAGGTTTGTCTCAATCCCTGTGTAGTTCCTGGTCTCTGTATATACTTTGGAGAATATATATAAGCTTCCTTTTTGGAAACTGGATTTTAGATGTAAAATTTAAACTAGAAGAAATCAATTAACTTCAAAAGAAAGATAGTGGCAATGTTGCTGTAAAGTATACATTTTGTCAGTGATATATAAGTCTGCCAATTTTAAGGGGCCTATTAAATGCTGATTTGAAAAATGAACAATCCCTCCAGGTATTCTTCTCTATGTCTTGCCAATTCTCCACAGCATCAGTGTCAGTCCTTGGATGGGAAAAATGGAAAGATCATCAGGCATTTAAACCTTACATTTTAGAGGCAGGCTGGCTTGGGACAATGCCTGGTTTTAAATTGAGGATCAGCTATTTAGTAGCTGCTTAGCCTTTCCTGTGCCTTTCTTTCTTTATCTATAAAATGGAGATGATCATTATAGCTCCCTCCTAGAATTGTTATTAGGAAAAAAATGACATGATACCTGCAGGTTATGGTAAGCACTCAATAAATGTTCATTTTCCATATTCTTTGAATTTGGACTCATC